CCAAAAATTGAAACAATTAAACAAAGTAATATATTTTAATGTGTAATTTAAAATGAAGCAGAAAGTACAAATTTATAAATAAACATTATCCAGGAGAGTCGTGTAGTATGGAAAAGCCGTAGGTATGTATCATTTTTCCTCAATACACACACGACTCGTGTGCCTAATGACACGGGTCGTGTGAATGTTACACGACTCGTGTCACTCGGCACACGAGTCGTGTGGAAAAGCCGAAAGTTTGTCTCAATTTTCCTCAGTACACACACGACTCGTGTGCCGTGTGACACGGGTCGTGTGATCTGGAAAATCGCCCCTGTTTCTTGGGAGGGAACTAAGAAGGAGAGAGATAGCTTTAAACAATGGTGGCCAAAATTATGCTCTATCAACAACTCCCCTACCGCAGAGGCCAGACTCCAGCTATCTTCTTACATCCTCTGGTGGATGTGGAAGACAAGGAATTTGTGGATATTTTCGAACATCTGGAGATCAGAGCAGGACACTATTAGCTTAGCTTTGGAGGACTGGTTGTATTTCAGTAGTGTGCATAACTCTATGTTCTAGTTTTCTGTCTTTTGTTTTGCCTTAGTGTTTTGAAGTCTAGCTAGGCTTTGGTGCAGTTGCTAGGCTTTTTTGATGCTGTTGTGAATATTTTGGGTTTTGTAGGGAAGGATAAGAAGGAACTCCTTGGATGAGCTGTTTTAGTAGCCAGGGAGGTATTCTTATTCTTTTGTTCTTGGGCTTTTTCCGTAGTCAGTGCGGTTGTATTAGGGAAAGTTTGTCCTCGGTTGTAACTCTCTTTTATTTTTCAGAGTAATATATCCTATCGTTTCCGAAAAAAAAAAAGAATAATTATACAGTATGAATAAATTGTTGGCTCGAAGATGTTGGCAGGGGTCAACTGCCTGTCAATTGGGCCCAATTTACTAACGGGCCTAAAGTCATTTCCAATATTTATTGAAACTTTACATGATCACTAATATGGACAGCCGTCTGACTTGCAGCCCATTGACTGTCCGGGCCCTTTATCACTGCAGAGAGCTTTATTAAAATGGACACATTAATATATTGCACATTTGCACGTGTCAATTTGTCAATCGGCTCAATTTGAGCTCTTGAGTTTTTATCAACATTAACATAATTATTAAATGATTAATCTTAAATGACAAAAAAACAACTGTAAATAGCACAATTATGATAACTCGACCCATTGAACAATTATAAATATCATTGTATTGTGCTTAATAGATAATGTTCCTCTACTCACGGGGTATATGTTAATATATCACAATTTTGCTATGAAGTCAATAGCTGACTTTATAGTGAAGTCAACCTTCTATATACAACAAAGAAACTGATCATATTAATAAAATTATTAAGTATTCTTACTTGTTGTATATATAGAAGGTTGACTCCACTAGCAAACTTGTGATAAATCCTTCAAAATATTTTTACATGTGATTCAAATTTTTATCTTTCTTTTTTGTATTTGTCACTTTTATTTTTTAATCAATCCACCAATATACTTTTGTACTAAGGTAGCAATGACACCTCAAAACTCATCACTATCGTCCATTGTTCTAAAAATCGATCTAGGCGACTGTTTAGGCGGTAAGCACCTCTAATTTGTACAAATCGGCAGAAAAAATCGACCAAGCAACACTTAGGCGGTCCTAGGCGCTCTTAGGCGGACTTGGCGGGCTCGGTGGCCGGACGGTTAGGGGGCGTCTAGGCTAGCATAGGTGGACCTAGGCGCTCCTATGCGAGCTCGGCGACAATTTTTCAATTTGTTTTTAATTAAATACTAATTATATTATTTTGTTCTCATGTTTTTTTTAAATATATTAGTATTATTTGAACTTATGTGTGACGATTTATTATAAATTAAAATAATTTTATTTTGTCGATAGTTAAAATAAATAAGAAATAAAGTATTTAATATTGATTTATAAGCACCGACTATGCCCTCCTAAATGCTTTAGGTTCTAGTCGAGCGCCTAGCGGGCGCGTTTTCCACTATTAAAAGAACAGTCATCCCTCTCAATCTCATTTGTGGTTGGCCGCCAAAATAATTGAGGCAAGTTCTATACTTTTTTTTTGTTTGTTGGATAATTTATTTATAGTCTGAGCCTCCGAGGTGGCAAAATGGCAGTGATTTCTTAATACGCAGTGTCAAACCACCATCAACACCGCCCCTGGTTTTTAGAGCTTTACATGTTGTTCCCAGCCGCTTTGTATTTTGGTAGTCTCTTCTCTCACCTTATCTGTTTTCGGGACATTTTTTTTTCGCCCAAAGGCCGTTCTTTTGGAATTAATTTATTGATATTTATTTCTTCCCCCTTTCGTGCCCTGATCTGGTTTATTTTTTCATAATGCAACCGTATATCAATTGAATTTCTCATCTAATTAGATCCAGCTTTGTTGTTCCTGATTTTATGAAGGGGGTGCATATAATTTTCCTTACGTGGGGCACAAAATCCTTGATTGTTGTTTGAAATTTTTCTTGTTGTGTGTTCTAATCTGATGTGGGCTTCTCTTAAATTGATATAACTGATCGAAAGATTCAATCTTTTTTCTATTTTGAAGTGTTCTTCTTTCGTTTCTCTTTGATTCTTCAGAAATCATCTGAAGAAGATATGGTAACTGTAAATATGGGCACCTTTTACTATGTGCTGGATCACATCTATGGTGCATTATTGCACAGGACAAAGATAAGCCCTCCATTCTTTTCTAGAGGATGGGGTGGGACAAAGCTCGAGCTTTTGGAGAAGATGATCAAACAACTGTTTCCCGAGGTTGAAGGACAAAATTGGCCTCCAACATTGGTTAAGCCCGTTTGGAAAACAGTTTGGGAGTCCAAAACCGCTTGTCTGAGAGAAGGTGTTTTCAGAACACCTTGTGAGGAGCAGCTTCTCAATGCATTGCCTCCCGAGAGCCATATGGCGAGGGTAGCTTTTCTCGCCCCGAGATTCGTGCCGCCACAAAAGATGGCTTGTGTTGTGCATCTTGCAGGTGTGGGTATATATATGTTTGTAGATATAATTGAATTTGCAATATGTTTCCTTGAATTTGAGGTAGAATACGAGAATGTATGTATGTGGTGAGTTTACTTACTTAGACAGGTATAGTGAAATATGATTTGGCTTGGGGAGATTTTGCTTAGGCCTATGGTTTTGGAATGAGCAATTGAGGTTGTAGTCGGATATGATTCCATATTGCTAGAAGAACCGAATTTTGAGGGGGTGATGGATATGAATACGGCATGTGAAAATTGTGATAAATAAAAGTTGATTTGATATAGAATTCATGAGAACTAGTGATTTTATATCAGTGGTTATTTGTAGAAATATGTTGGTTGCTGACCGTGAAATATATAAGAGTTGCATCATAACACTAATGATTTGATGGTTTTTTTTTGTTGAAAAATGAGTTGAGAGATTGACCCGATAAAAGAAAAGGTGAAAGCAAATAGTTTTCTCAAAATTTACATAAAGTCTTAGTAGGCAAAAGCTTGAGAACAGAAGTAGATTCTCAGTTAGTTATTCTCCATACTTTATTACAGGCACAGGAGACCATGCATTCGAGCGAAGGTTGCGTCTCGGTGGACCTCTTCTGAAAGAAAACATAGCAACCATGGTGCTAGAGAGGTCAAATCAAATATCACTCAACAATACATCTCGTTAAAGACTTTTGATTTCGATCGCGTATTGTGGCTCTTATTAAATCTTTCTAGTTCACAGCCCTTTCTATGGAAGAAGACGTCCAATCCTGCAAAGAGGGGCAAAGCTGTTATGCGTTAGTGACTTGCTCTTATTAGGACGAGCTACGATTGAAGAGGCCCGTAGTCTATTGTATTGGCTGGACACTGAGGCAGGCTATGGAAAAATGGGTGTATGTGGGCTTAGCATGGGTATAAAAGGCTCAAAAACTGATATAATGAAGTTTTTAGTGGATGTTTATAAAAATAAAGTAAAAAAAAAAAAGGAATTCTTAATGTTCTATATATATTCTTTTAGGCGGAGTACATGCGGCTATGGTCGGGTCGTTACACCCCACGCCTATTGCCACTCTCCCTTTTCTATCTCCACACTCAGCTGTGGTGGCTTTCTGTGAGGGGATTCTAAAGCATGCCACTGCATGGGAAGCTCTCAAAGAGGATCTTGCCGTGCAGAAAGCAGCTGCCATGACACTCGAGGAAGTTAGGGAAAGAATGCGAAATGTGTTGTCACTAACCGATGTCACGCGTTTTCCCATACCCAAGAACCCGAATGCTGTTATATTCGTTGCTGCCACTGTAAGTAGTGATGTTAAAGATTGGATTTTTAGTTCATTTCAAGAAAATTTAGATCTTTAGTGGTTATTAATCTTAGAAATGTTTGAGTATTGGGTGTGTAACGTTAAAGTTGCTATCTTTTTCATCTTCAAAACACAAAACTCTTCGAAACAGCACAATAAAATGAGGCACACTACTTTTTGTTTGCATTTGACTAAATTTTGATTTCGAAGTTTTTTTTTTTTTTTTTTNNNNTTTTTTTTTCATAATTTTTATTCCAGGATGATGGCTACATCCCCAAACACTCGGTTTTGGAGCTTCAAAAAGCCTGGCCTGGATCGGAAGTGAGGTGGGTTTCAGGTGGCCATGTTTCGTCTTTCCTTCTTCACAATGGGGCCTTCAGAAAAGCCATTGTTGATGGCCTCGATCGTTTACCATGGAAAGAATCTCCACTATGATTGATTCTCTCAATGTATCATAAGAAAGAGATTGACAACAGCAATATACATGTACGGTAACTTCACATTTGTATGCTTAACAGTTAGTTTAATCGTGACAAGCCCAGCAGATTGAATGTGCAAGAAACGGGTGTGTTTTATAGCTCTCGACTTCTAACTTGGCCATATGAAAGTAAACTTTGGTGAAAAAATACTTCAATTATGAAATTGTTATGGCGTTTAATTGAGAAGAACATGAGTCGAACTCGTACTTGAACTTGATATAGTATGTTGTTATACACATTTTATCATTTTCTACAAACCAAATCGGTCTCGATAAATCCAGTAGATTATTGGTCGATCGAGGTTCTTTAACATGTCTGATGATTGGTTTTTTATTGCTGATAAAATAGGATTAGTGTTTGAATGTGCCAAAATACTCCAGGTTGAAAACAGAGCTCTTCTCAGGTATTCCGTATTTATATTGATTTTGGGCCAAGTTGGTTTGATGGCAATTAGAATCATCCTACCCCATATCATGGTATGGACTACTTGTCTAGTGACAAAATAATAACGGGCCGGGCCAGAATTTATAACCAGAGGATTCAAACATCTGAAAGTAACAAAAGTGGCCTGGCCCACAGACTCGTTTCGCTACTTGAACTTTGTTGAATGACCCATTTAGCAACCAGGCCTAGCCCACCAAATATCACAAAGCCAACATGGCTGTGTTTACTTTATTTTATTTAAAATTCACGAAATAAATATTTATCATTGTTAATGAATATTTATTTCATTTGTTAATATAATAGCCTACCGTCTTCAGATACTTTAGTGTAATTCGCCATTTAGGCAACTATATTTTTTAATAGATGTGCAAATTTTAAATTGCAATTTTATAAAATATTCTATGAAAATAATATAAATGAAAGTATGACATTTAATAGCATAAATATGCTTTTTTTTTTTTATATGATAGGTTGAAAATTGAAATTTTAATTCGTTCCAATTTTACCTTGGTTATAATTGGCCTGTAAGACAGGGAAATAAAGAAAATTAAGCTAATTTATAAGTATAGATACTTATATAAATAACTCTGGAAAAAGGTAGCAAACTCTTATAATATCATCAAGCTAGAAAATATACATGTCTAGCTAATTAAGGCCCCTTAATTGTTCTTATGCCTCACGAGGACGGGTCAACCAGAGGGAGCTGAGGGCTCGGAGGCGGTTGAAGTATTCTCCGATGGCCAAGAAACACCTCGCCGCCTGGCGGGTCGTCAGGATCTGGTTCAACCGGTGAAGGCTTTGGTGCCTCAGGTGATCACCCTATAAGCCAAATCGTTTAACTTTAAGTTAGTATATATATATGTGTATCTCAAATTAATATACAAGTCAAATTAAGCTAAAACTATTACAACTTGTTACCATGCATACATACATCTTGCCTTATCAAGGGTTTTGTTTATTCAGCTACATTATCCAACAATAACCTCTTTGTCCTCCTACATTCACAAGAACATTTATGGCTCCTATATAACCTTGAATTTCATGTAATTCTTTCATTGCTTGATTTGATGCTCCTAGATTGAAGAATTGTATATTGTGTTGGTTTTCTAGCCATTGCTTCTAGAAACTCGAGTGAAAAGAGAAAGAAAAAGAAAAAAAGTTAATACGTGTAAACATAAACTGGTGAAAAGATTCGAGCTGACTCACAATTAGCATTAGTTACGGTTACATTCATCATCAAGACACGCGTCGAACATGCATATAAACGTTCTAAATTTGAAAGGTAGAAATTAAATATGCCCACCGAACGGTGTAGAAAGTCCTAAAAAACGACAACTTCATTAACTATCTCTTTAAATAACATAAATATACATTTTTGAATAACTTTTTTCATGGATGTAATGCTTGGCACTATGTACCTTATTAATCCCTAATATAATTTGAATAATTGTGAGTTTTGTAAGAAGAATATAATTATTAATATGTTATTTCATATGTCTCACTCCAAGAAAGATAAAAATCAAGGTGGTGGGTGGTCAATTTCATGGGGTCAAGGTCAAACATTTATGAAAGTGACAAAATATGGGGCCAAATGTTAGCGATGTCTTTGTCTCAACCTCTTGTTGGAGTTAAAGCACCCATATATACCTTCTCCTATTAAAAAATTTCATGCACGTATATTTTGAAAATTTTATCAATATTTGAACATCTTACCTTAATTATTTTACCCTCAAATTAAGAATCCTACAAAAAAAATTTATTGATATATATACCAGATTATAAATTGTGCACGATGCATGCATGCATATACACACACATATATATAAGCAGTTAAAATGATACTTTATGTCTACTTATTATTACTACTAATAATAAACATCCTAGTATCTAACACTAACAGTACAAATGAAATGCATACGAAATTACTAAGCTTATATTAAATGTAAAGAATGAAACTGAAGTACCTGTCGAACGAAGCCTTCGAGAGTCGAGAGTTTGTTGACGGCTAGAGCCATGTGGGCCATATAGTTGTTCATGTTCGACGGGACATTGTTGTTGAGAGAGTCCGCTATTATGGTTTGAGTGAGTGTTTGAGTGAGAGCTTCGAGTCCTTGAGAAAGTGCTTCTTCTGCTTCCTGTGTGGACTGCTGCAGGTCGCAAATCCCCGCCATTTGTTGTTCGGTTAGCGGCTCGATTTCCTTCAAGATTATCTGATTTTCGAACCGGTATTATTATATGATGTAGTTCGTATGGTTAATCGTACACCAAATTTATGCAAACTTTTGAAAATTTATTATATTAATTATTATATGTATTAGTAGGTCCTACTAAATGTGTGTTATGTACACCCCTATGTACAATATAATGTACCTATAACATTACTCTATAATTTATATATAAACTAAAACTTTGATATAATTTGTGTTGATGTGAGTTGATATCAGACCTTTACTGTGTCTCGTTTTCGAGTTTTATAATATTGCTATCGTTAAAATAATAATAATAATAATAATAATAATAATAATAATGGGTTTAGGTTAGTGT